CTTGAGCCCAGGAGTTGGAGGTTGCTGTGAGCGTGATGCTACAGCACTCTACCCAGGGGGACAGCTTGAAGCTGTCTCAGAAAAAAAAAAAAGCTGGATAAAAGTATAATAACTTGAATATAATAAAGTCTTCTAACTAAGAACCACATATCCCCCCCTTTTTAAAAACAATTAAAAATGAAATTTCTTATACAGACATTTCTCTGAGTTCTTGATTTCATAATACAAATTGAGAATAAAAGGACAGATTAAATATACATTTGCCTAATGCTATTAGGCATAAAATCATATCCAGAATAAGCACCTGGCTCTCCAGAAGAGCAGGACTGTTTTGTGTTCTGTTAATAATAGATTAATAGATGATAAAATGACTAGTTAGAAAAGATGATTAATCTTGGGCAAAAGATATATTAAATTAAAAACTCAAAGTTTATTCAGCTATATCTGGCTGAACAAGTATACAACCACACGGTGTCCCCCAAAGGTTGCCCATATAGTCGCCACACATAGACAAAATGGGAAACTGCAGGTAAATTTAACCAAATTTACAAAATATTCCTGACAAAATTTTACCAAATATTTCCTATGTATGTGGGAGGCAGACAGTCTGGATTCCTCACAGACTTTCCAACTTAGGTAAAGTGCCCAGTCAGGGGAATGTCTCTGTGATTATCTTTGCATGGGGAAATCAGCATTGCAGACAAGCCAAGACCATCAACTAGTATCTTGGGCTGGAAAGGCCGTTGAAGGAAATGAGACTGGCTTTTCCCCCTCTCTCTTCTAGTTGTACCGTTATCTGGCCAATTCAGATGTTTCATTACCCTATGTGCTGTTTACCCTTTACCCAATTTTCTTGGGGGCTGTAATCTCCCCTCTCTCATTTTCAACCTTGACTGCTGACTACTGACTGCTGTGCTTCTTGAACATATACTCTGTTATACACCCAATAAAAACACTCCAGGAATCAGGACAGGTGCTGCATTGTTCTCATGCTGCCACAAAGCACATAAAACCGTGTATGCTTTTACAGGCTTTCAGTGTTACACACTAAGTTCAGTGTAAGTTTTGTACTTTCCTCAGCGCCATCTCCTCTGCTAGCCACTGTCCCATTAGACACCCAACATTTGTAAAATTTTGTCAGGAATATTTTGTCAATAAAGGTACATTTCACTACCATTTCCCATTTTCCCTATGTATGGTGACTTATAGGCAACCTTAGTATACCCTGTATACTTATCAAGAAGTATGCTATTGCTTGTTTGAACTTCTTTCTCTAGTTTAATCCTTTTTTCTGTAGATGCAGAGTCTCACTCTTGCTCAGGCTGGTGTCAAACCCCTGACCTCAAGCGATCCTTCCATCTTGGCCACCCAGAGTGCTAGATTATAGATGTGAAACACAGCACCCAGCCAAAGTTAGGGTTTTAAGCACTGTGTACCTTGATACAAAGATAACAAACCCATCTAATTTGCTTGTTTAAAGCAAAATTCAAATATTATGTATACAAAATGATGCTTACTTTATACATTCATTAAGAACCTTTGGCTCTTCTAGCTGCACACCTTGAGAAGAATCTTTTTTTGCAGGCTGTGATGTAACATCTTCACATTCAATATTTTTACACAATTGATCTTCCATTTGTTGGGAAATCTAAATGAAACATAAAATTTTAACAGATTTCACTGAAAATTCTGTCTCATTTGAGTATAAGGAAAATGGCAAAAATTTCAAAATTATAAAATGATATTCAAAGGGTGCTTTTTAATGTTTTTTTCTGTAGATACCTTAGAAAATTTCTTAAGTCAACCTTTACCACATCTCAAAGCCCTTCTTCTTCTCTCTCAATCAGAAAGCAAGTAATTACTGCAGTCCTATCTGTTAGAATTACTCAATGGGGGTCTATCTTTCTGAATCATTCAGATTATCATAATTAATGGGAATTATAAGAAATTCAAATCTCAAATCACCCAACTTTTACCCTTATCATGAAAACTACTATTTTATCATCATAAAATCCATGATCTTTGTTCTCAGAATTTTTAGTAGAAAGCTTTTAATATTTTATTGTTTAAACTAATATTAAAATTCATTTATATACGTATCACTTCCAAAAGGACAGTTGATTCAAACATCTGCTGAGTTACAAGGAAAAGCAAGTCCAAATATAAGGTAAGATAAAAGCAGAATATCTATTATCTTAAATGCTGAAATTCTAAAATGACATTACAATTATGCTTCTGGCTTTAAGATTTAGAACATAAATTTAATAAAGGACACACATAAATTGTGCCATATTGCTATTTTAAAAAAGGAGTGAAGGCAAGCTTATGTCCTGTTAACAAAATGATGGGGAGGAATTAGACTACTTACATCTCTATTAGTACAGGATTCATTTTCATTCTTATCTACATTGGCCTCAATTTTTTCTTGTGATGCAAAAATTTCTTTTTTTTCAGCAGCTTTGCCTACATTTGGCTTTAGCCTTTGCAATCGGCCCCTCATTACTCTTGCAGATCTAAGAGCCTTCGGTTGATTATCTTCCTGCAAATAATTTTTTTCACTCAAACTAGAACCACAAAAAGAAAAAAAATCAATGTTTACTCGGAATTCTCAAACTCGCTGGCTTTTCAGTATTTCCTCCTCTCTGGTATAAATAAGTAAATCATATGGAATAGAAAATAATTCACAAGTGCCCTAAACAGACATAATCCTGGAAGCCTCACTATAGAAAGTACTTTTAAATCAAATTTCATTATAAAACTAAAAAAGCCTGCATCTGAAAAATATATATACTATTCCTCATTAAGGATATTATGTAATGTATAACTCCAGACGATTAGCCCCAAATTATGGTATAAATGGTATTCCCGGAATAGCCATAAACCCAATGGTCAGATTCACTTTAGAATGAAGCCTGTTTTAGATCTTCCATTTCAAGTTAAATATTCCCTTCTAAAATCCTTGATATAAATAAAAGTATCCCGGAACTTCACCACATACAACTCATCTACCTTTACCATTTTTTTAACAAGATATCTTATTAATAACTTGAGAAAAAATATAATTGCTAACTCAATGGACTCATACACAAGTTATTACAATCATTCCTAAGAGTTACTATTTTCACACTACTACTTAAATACTTACTTAGATGGAGTCTTAGCTTCTGGATTCTCTCTTTCTGTATTCTCCATTCCAGAACTGTCAGATGAATTCATTTTATCTTTTTCCATTTGATTCTGTGAATTTAATACTTTACAGTTAACCTACCTACTGTAAAAAAGTCCAAACTTTATATAATAAATGAATAGAAAATAAAACAATGGAATTTCATTTTTTTGTGCTTCTACCTAGATAAGATTTTCTAAATATCCTAAATGTAGATGGCAATAACATAAAACAGACAGTTCATACATTACTAGAAGGCCTTCAGCCAATATGAATCAAGAGTCTTAACAATGTTCCTATTCTTCGACCCAGTAATATCACTCTGAAAACTCTATTTTAAGTAGAACAAATAAAATATTAATCACGGTAAAAGGGAAAATATCTAATAACTGAAATAAATTCAGTTATACTCCGCTGATAAACTATTCTGAACTAATTAAACATCATGCTTTCAAAAATTGTTAAATGACATGAAAAATAATCATGAAATGTTAATTTAATTATTAAAGGATACAAAGCTGAATTCATACCACTATTCAGTGTTATAAAAGAAAACCTATCCTATGTATCTGAATGACAACACTCAAAAAAGGAAAACCTAAAAGGATACATGTGAAAAGACTGGTTACATCTAGATAAAAACCTAATGTTAATAATATGTAAGTTCTTGCACCTGTTCTAACAAAAGCAATAATAATTTTTAATTACAAACTAAGAATTTTTACTAAACTACAATATTTAAGGGAAATTTTTATTCCATACCTTATCAACTGAAGCTTCAGGATGTGAATTCTTGCTCTCTGAATCTGTTTTGCCTTTTGAAAGAACCGATTTCTTCACAATTGCCCTTGATAAATTTGGTTTAGGTCTCTGAAGTCGACCTCTTAACACTGGCTTAACATTTTCTGTTTGATCCGTTTCCCTAAAAAATTATTATTATTTAAATTGCATACAACATGTAGTCATGCCTAAATGAAATTCTAAAGAATTCTAAAATAAGGCAGCGCCTGTGGCTCAGTGGGTAGGGCACCAGCCCCATATACCCAGGGTGGCAGGTTTAAACCCACCCTGGCCCAATTGCAACAAAAAATAGCCAAGCATTGTGACAGACACCTGTAGTCGCAGCTACTCAGGAGGCTGAGGCAAGAGAATCACCTATCCCCAGGAGTTGGAGGTTGCTGTGAGCGGTGTGACACCACAGCACTCCGCTAAGGGCGATAAAGTAAGACTCTGTCTCTACAAAAAAAATTCTAAAATAACCACAAAGAACTCCTTTAAATGCTCATTTACAGTAAGAATAGAAAAGAAAATTGGAAAAGAGACTGTAACTTGCTCTATCAGATGCTAAACATACACCATTCACAGGCCAGGAGTGGTAACTCATGCCTCTCATCCTACACTTTGGGAGGCTAAGGTAGGAGGACTGCTTGAGACCAGGAGTTATCAGCCTAGACAATAAGCAAAACTCAATATGAACTACAAAAAATTAGACATGTGGTGGCACATGTCTATAGTCCTAGCTACTTGAGAGGCTAAGATGGGAGGATCACCTAAACCTAAAAGTTCAAGGCTGCAGTGAGCTATGATCTCACCAATGCACTCTAGCTATGACACAACGGCACTGTACTGAGGGTAACATAGTGAAACTATCTCAGGAAAAAGAAAAAATAGGTTTAAAAGATAAAAAAAATTTCATTTCATTCCTAATAAGTCATATTAAAACTAAACTGAAAAGGGTGGCACCTGTGGCTCAAGGAGTAGGGCACTAGCCCCATATACTAGGGGTGGCAGGTTCAAGCCCAGCCCCAGACAAAATTACAAAAAAAAAATCTAAACTGAGAAAAAGAACACACAAATTTGACAAGATTATAAAAATCAAGGAATCTAAGGGAAATCACACATGTATACAGATGCTCCATTATCCTATTCTTTCAACTTTTCTTTAGAGTATAAATTTTCTTTTCTTTTTTTTTCTTTTTGGAGACAGAGTCTCAACCTATCGCCCTGGATAGAGTGCTGCGGCATCATAGCTCACAGCAACCTCCAACTCAGGCTTAAGCAATCCTCTTGCCTCAGTTTTTCTTTCTTTTTTTTTTTTTTCGACAGAGTCTCACTATGTCACCCTCAATTAGAGTGCCATGGCATGGCATCACAGCTCATAGCAACCTCAAACTCTCCAGCTGCAGTGATTCTCTTCCCTGAGCCTCCCAAGTAGCTGGGACTATAGGTGCCCACCACAATGCCTGGCTATTTTTTGTTGCAATTGTCATTATTGTTTAGCAGGCTCAGGCTGAGTTCGAACTGCCAGCCTCGGTGTTTATGTGGCCGGTGCCCAACTCACTGAGCTATGGGCACCGAGCCAGTTTTTCTTTTTTTTTTTTGAGACAGAGCCTCAAGCTATCCCCCTGCGTAGAGTGCTGTGACATCACAGCTCACAGCAACCTCCAACTCCTGGGCTCAAGCGAGTCTCCTGCCTCAGCCTCCCAAGTAGCTGGGACACAGGCGCCCGCCACAACACCTGGCTATTTTTTTTGGTTGCAGCCATCATTGTTGTTTGGCGGCCCTGGCTGGATTCAAACCCACCACCTTAGGTATATGTGGCTGGTGCCTTAGCCACTTGAGCCACAGGTGCCGAGCCCAGTTTTTCTATTTTTAATAGAGATGGGGTCTTGCTCTGGCTCAGGCTCATCTCAAACCTGTGAGCTCAGGCAATTCATCTGCCTCGGCCGCCCAGAGTGCTAGGATTACAGGTATGAGTTACCACACCCAGCAAGGTTATAAATTTTAAAATGAAAAACCTGAGGTAAGCCAGACCCAGTGGCAAGAGCCTACAGTCCCAGATAATTAGGAAGCTGAGGCAAGAAGATCTCTTGAACCCCAGAGTTAAAGTTCAGCCTAAGCAACAAAGTAACTCTACCATGCCTTAAAAATATATAAACTGGAGTGAGGGGAGGAAGGAATTACATATCCCTGACCAAATAAGAGGAATAGGGTAGAAATACTATATATTTTTTTAAGAAACAGGATATTATTCTGTCACCCAGGCTGGAGTACAGTGGCCCAATCATAGCTCACTATAACCTGGAACTCCAGGGCTCAATCAATCCACCTCCGGCTCCCAGAAGCTGAGGAGACTACAGGCTCCTGCCATCACAGCTGTCTATTTTATTTTTATTTTCCACACAAACAGGGTCTCATTATGTTGCCCAGGCTCTACTGCAGGCCTCAAGAGATCTTCCCGGCTCGGCGCCTATAGCTCAACCGGCTAAGGCGCCAACCACATACACTTAAGGTGGCGGGTTCAAATCCCCAGCCCGG